CACACACACACACACACACACACACACACACACACACACACTATTCAAAACCAATGACATTTATTAACATTTCTTTATTAAATAGATTTTTTAAAAGTTCTATTTGTTGTTGATTTATTTTATCTGCATATCGCAAATATTTTATTTATTTATTTACATGAAAACCCATTTTAATTTCAAAAATGAATATCATTTAATTTTGTTTTTGCTCATTTTATTAACTAGAATGACAAAAAAAACGATTTTCCTCCCCTGTAAACAATATTTTAATTTAGATGTTTTTTTTCTATATTTAGAGTATATTTAGATATGTAGGCTATGTGATAAATTCATATTTGTATACATACAGAGAGAGAGAGAGAGAGAGAGAGCACAATTACAAAATCTCATGTTAACGTGTCTTTTCCTGTTCATGTTTTTATAATGAGCTGATTTTTGATCACTTGTATGTTTATGGTAAACACACATGTATATTCTTGTACTACTCCTCTCTTAAAGTCACTTTTGATAAAAGCATTTCTAAATGTATGTCACCATGGACTAATCAATAAAAGTCAAAGTTAAAAACCAGATTGACAATCACAAAATGTCCACCAAGCAAAAAAAGAAAAAAAAAAAGAAAAAAAAGTTGTCCGATACTGTAATTCAGTGGGATAAATGGATTAGTCTCCATGGAGACGGCAGGCCGGAGTTGTAGTATGGAGGTATCGCAGTCTTCACCCAAACAGATGGGCGGTGAGACGGCAGGGAGCAGATCAATATCCATGTGCTCTAGTGAACACAGGCCTCCCTTGTCTGCTGGAGCCAAACCAGCCTGAGGGCCGCCATGGCCTCTCTTCTCTCTCGCTCACTCACTCACTCAGACTGACCGTTTTCTCACTGCGGACACTTACTGAAAGAGATACTTATGATCCTGAGGTCATGAAGGCACTGGAGGACACTAAACGCTTTCTAAAGTCGCACTCTGATTAATAATCTAACAGATGACTGTGAAGCCATCTTGAAACAACAATGAAAGAACCTCACAGAGTGTTAACTGACTTGCCTTCATGGGAGCTGGTAAATGTATCAACTGTTCTGGATGCGCTAAGCTTCGACATGAACTGTGACAGTAGGGTAAAATGACAATAATAAACAGTTAAAGGAATATTCATTTAAATGTACAACAACCACAGAAAACATGCACAGTTAAAAGGGGTTAAAGGGCAAAAATCTACAAGTTTATGACCTTTACCAGATAAAATAAAGTATCGCACTGGAATGAACATTAAAACACACACTACTGCGTACTATATAGTATATAACTACTATACTATACAATGCTATATATACGTTATAACTAAATAAATAAAAAGATAAAAGTAGTCTAAATAAATAACTAGTATGTCGGCTATTTAATAGATGTATACAAATAAATGCATATATGATAAAAGAATATTGCATTTAATCAATGCATATGCCTATATAATAAAATATATATATTTTTTAATATAATAATAATAAAATATTAGATTCTGTTCTTTAGAACTATTCATCAAAGAATCCTGAAAAAAATATATCATGGTTTCCACAAAAATATTAAGCAACTGTTTTCAACTTTGATCATAATAATAAATGTTTCTTGAGCAGCAAATCAGCATATTAGAATGATTTCTGAAGGATCATGTGACACTGAGACTGACCGTTTTCTCACTGCGGACACTTACTGAAAGAGATACTTATGATCCTGAGGTCATGAAGGCACTGGAGGACACTAAACGCTTTCTAAAGTCGCACTCTGATTAATAATCTAACAGATGACTGTGAAGCCATCTTGAAACAACAATGAAAGAACCTCACAGAGTGTTAACTGACTTGCCTTCATGGGAGCTGGTAAATGTATCAACTGTTCTGGATGCGCTAAGCTTCGACATGAACTGTGACAGTAGGGTAAAATGACAATAATAAACAGTTAAAGGAATATTCATTTAAATGTACAACAACCACAGAAAACATGCACAGTTAAAAGGGGTTAAAGGGCAAAAATCTACAAGTTTATGACCTTTACCAGATAAAATAAAGTATCGCACTGGAATGAACATTAAAACACACACTACTGCGTACTATATAGTATATAACTACTATACTATACAATGCTATATATACGTTATAACTAAATAAATAAAAAGATAAAAGTAGTCTAAATAAATAACTAGTATGTCGGCTATTTAATAGATGTATACAAATAAATGCATATATGATAAAAGAATATTGCATTTAATCAATGCATATGCCTATATAATAAAATATATATATTTTTTAATATAATAATAATAAAATATTAGATTCTGTTCTTTAGAACTATTCATCAAAGAATCCTGAAAAAAATATATCATGGTTTCCACAAAAATATTAAGCAACTGTTTTCAACTTTGATCATAATAATAAATGTTTCTTGAGCAGCAAATCAGCATATTAGAATGATTTCAAAAGGATATAAATGATATTTTAAAGTATATTAAAATATATTTGACTCTATTTTATTATACTTATGTAAGAAAATCTTACCAACCCCAACTTCTGAATACTAATGTATATACAGTATAATTAGACAAAAATGTAGCTTAAAAAAAAGTTGGATCTAAAAGTATGCACTACTCCTAATCTTGCACACTAGATTCAAATTCAAACCAGTTCTGCTGGCATGACTCTTGTACACTATATAGAACTGATACTATGCAAATTGAGATGCTGCCAGAAAATGTGATTGTACTGTAAAATTACAATAATAATTCACTCCAACCATAACGTCTGAAGCGCTCCGCAGCGATGGTGTGGATAAGAGAGATTTTATGGTAAGATGGTTTGTTCACTGGGATGCTTGTGTGCTACTGTGGGGGCGTTCTTGGAGAGAGCATCTATGAGATGTTGCTGTGAGATTGCTCCAGGCCTGGGTTGAAAAGTCATGGCAGAAGGTCATTAGAATCTGGTTTCACATTAGCATGTGCTGAATGGGATTACCCAGCCAGAGGAGCTCAGAGGAGACCAACACACACACACACACACACACACACACACACACACACACACACACACACA